GGGGGGGGGGGGGGGGGCAGTGAACGGATCAGGGGGCACAAGGGACACAGAATTGGACTGTTTGGCAGTCAAAGGATCTGTGTTGGCAGAGCAGCGGGTAGTAAATAAATAGCTATGATCAGAAGCTTGTCAGCCACTGATCATAGCTATTCATTTGCTCAGATTATGCTTCCCTACTGGTAGTGCTGCATGGTGATTGTGTTTTTACTATTCCTCTCTTTCAGTACAAACCTGTTAACATTTTTATACTGACTGAAACTAATACATTGCTAAAGCAGTAATTTATTTATCTCAGCAGTTGTTTAACATTGCTGCCTGTTATACAGTTAGCAATATAGCTTGAAATATATGGAACAGCAAGCATATGAAAATGTGCAGTTAAAACATGTAAAAATGCATTAGGTATTACTTTTAGGCATATTGGGCAATAAGTAAAAATAATTTCCTTTTAAACATTTCTTCCTGAAATGTTATCAGTATAGAAAAATAAGTATTATGATATATAAAACAAATGGACAGTATTTCATTCACAGGGTAATTGCTTAATTTGTTTTCTAAGATCTGTTTATTTTCTATTGCTTAGGACACGAACTGCATTTGAAATTAAGCTGCACAGGACAAGTAAATCTACAGACCTCCGGATACCATCCTCTGTATGCACGATGTTTAATGTGTTGGTGGATGCTAAAAAGCAGTGCACTAAGCTTTGTGTTCTTGATGGTGGGCAAGAGGTAAGGTCTTACGTGTATATTCTTTGCTCGTTTTCAGTTGCATGATCCTCTTGCATAGTTGTTGTGTAATTTGCACTAATGGTAAACTTTTTTGTTGAATTCAGGGACTGATGTGAATGTACAACTATGTAAAACGCTGCATAAAATTGTTGGCGCTATTGAAATACCTGTAATAAATAAATAAATATGAGGGGGGAGTTGTTAAATGCTGGCCATTTTTAGGGCTTATAGACAATCTACTGTCAAAAAGGCGAATAGGAAGCTGAGCATTGCCATGGGGTACATGTACTAAATAAATATAAAAAAAGAAAAATACCATACAGTATGCAGAGGGCCCAAATTTACTAAAGACAAGGGACAAGGCTGGGGTAGAATTGGTCAGCAGCAAGTTAGAGGGCAGTATTGAAAATACACAAATGTTTAGTAACATACTTGAGTAATGTCTTAAAGCTGCACATGGTGTCACCGAACAGTGCAGTTTTCTCGCAGTCTCAACGACAGCATACACTGGCGGCACTGGACTTTGCAGTTGTTTTTTTTTTGTTGTTGTTTTTTTAATTAGCTTGGCTTACTTACAGCAGCAGCATCCCAATCAAATTAATTTCAGTTAAAAAAAAACACTTGCTTTCTCATCAAAAGGTAATATATCCACTTTGACCACCAAATAGCAATTGGCCAGTACTGTTGTCGTCCTTGTTCTCACTGATGCAAAATTGTCCTGCAGGTGGCTAATTTAAATCAATCTCTAATTAAAGGTGGCCACACACCTTGCGATAATCGCGGGAAATCCTGCAATCGTGCGATTATCGTAAGGTGTGTGGGAGCCGTGCGACCTCTGCTACTGTAAGGTCGCACGACTTTTATCTTAGGAACATGTTCGAAAACCCGCCGTCCAGGTATTTTTTTTTAACTACCACTGATTGAACCTTGCGATAAAAGCCAGAAGGATGGGGCCGCCGTGCGACGATCGTATATGACAGTTCGATCATCGGACGAAAAGTTTCGTACGATAATCGTAAAGTGTATGGGCACCTTAAGTGATATAATGTCATGTGGTTTAGGTGCCCACCGTTCTTCCATTTAGCTTCTTTTTTTTTTCTTCAAAGGATGCAGCAGCAAATGAAAGGCAGCTCCATGCTCCACTTTGTGCACTCCATACTTAAAAAAGGCCATATAAACATAAAGTAAAATGAAAAAAAAAACACAAATGAAATAAAAAACCCCAAATACCTTTTTTTTTAAAAAGGCCTTGCAGAAAAAGAAAAAAATGTTTTCTGTAGACAGGCAGCAACTACAAGTGACTGCTGACCTCAAATCAAACACAAAATAAAAGCCTAACAAGTTGTTCTTTTGTTTTTTTTTTAACCAAAGGGCTAACAATCAGTATCAAAGTAAAGGTTCCTAACTGATCTAATCTCTATCTCTAGTCTGCGTTCCCTGCAACAACTTCCAATCCACTGACACTATGGCTGTTCTGTGCAGGTTTGGCTTAACCAAAATCCCCTTTTTTAAGCTCTGATGCCCATCCCCAGTTTTCCTCCCTTCAAATATTTTACTTACCTGTCCACACTGCTCCAAAATCTTCACTGTGTGGTCTGCTCAGCACTGTTAAGCTTTTTCTTTAATTTTTTTACTCAATACTTTGGAAGGTTCATACGCTGTCAAGAAACCCCTCAGGTCAGAAGCCTAACTAGAAACCTCAGGGCCTTGGTGCAAGAAGCCATGAAACCACCCTATCAAAAAAAGCTTGTTTTTTTCCAATAAATAATTGTTGTAAATGGCTGCTGTTGCTGGCGTAAGTAAACCTATTGTTAGCAAAATGTATCCTGCAATTACTGTAAAGCATGTTCCAATCATTGGTGGAACTACCAGGGCGGCAGCAGTCACATGTGAATATTTAGGAATCCTAAATATAGTTCTCAAACTATAGAGCTATAGCCGCCAAGAGTCTGTTTAAAGGGGCTTGCTGCCAGTGACGTATGACATACAGAACGCCAGGACCCAGTCTCACATGCAACCTTGGTAGTTCCGCCATTGCCTCAAGTACTTCTCTATGTGATTGAATTGAGATTGGATGTGGGTAGATACTGGCCTAGACAGTGAATACTTTAAAAAAGAGGCTGTGTGGTGCCAAGCAGGCCTCATAGTAAAGAACTTGAAGGAGCAACATAAAGTAAGTAGAGGACTTAAAGGGGAACAGCCTGGGGATGGGCATTGGAGCCCAATAAAATACATTTTAGTAAAATCGCAGATTTTAAGACTTTAACCAAGGTGCACTCATTGTCAGTCATTGTATGTTCTCTGTCATTTCTATATGTCATGTATTTTTGTTTCTTCATTATTGTTGCTCATTATTATCTTTTATTGTATTTTATTTCCATGTCCATTTGTTTCTGGATCATTCCATTATATCATCCAGTTTTCTGAGCAGTGGGTAAGTGTTTGTTTACATGAATAGGAATTCACTGAAAATATTGATTTTGTGTACCATTTATACCGTTATGGTGTTGACATCCCATTGTGATTGCAGGACTCACCTTCCCCTAGCCCCGTTTTCTCATTTTGCAGTAGAAATAATGATAGCCATGCTTGTAAAGGCAGTAGGCAAGCTGCAGTATTGTTTTTGGTTGCTGCATTTTTTTCTTATTGATTAAAATAAGCCATTATGCAGATTAGTAATTTAACTGAAAAATTTTAATTTGTTATGTTTGTGACTGTTCTGTGATGAAATCTGTCAAATCACACACAGATACAGAAGATGGGAGATCTGTCAATGCTGCTATTTTAGACAGAGCTGTCTATATACACTGAGTGGCCAGTTTATTATGACCACCTGACGTTTGTAGGCAAATTAGCTATAATTAGCAATAATTTCGCGCTGAAGTTGCTAGAGGGCCAGACCATTATAAATAAGGAAGCAGGTTGTTTACTACGACAGTAGAAGTGATTTTTTTCTGAAGATATGGGTAAACAATGCGAGTTAACAGCCTTTGAACGTGGGATGATTGTTGGCGCTCTGAGCCATGGAGCGAGTATCAGCAAAACAGCAGAATTTTTTTGTCAATGTTAGGACAGAACGGAGAGTGGCAAGACTGGTACAAGACAACAGAAGGGCAACAGTGCAGTGTCAGATTATTCGCATCATCTTTCAACATCTCGTGGAGTCACGAGGCGGCCCAACAAAGTCCTCTCATGGCCCAACGAAGTACTGATGGGGTGGTCATAATAATCTGTCCACTCAGTGTATAGTCAAAGCAGTTTTCTTTCATAGTTATGATATTACTCCAGTGAAGTTTAATTCCATAAACCTGATGTTGGTGACATTTTGTTTCATGAAGAATAACTATATAAAAAAAAAATAACATAAGCTCTTTAAATTTATGTGGGGTTACCAAGCAGCTTTGCAAGTCAAACTTTTACCTCTGCTTTTTCTTTCCCTGCGTTGTGAGAGCTGTCTTCACAGGCCTAACCATTCAGAGGCATCCCATCGCACTCCAAACCAATGTATCCTCCATGTGTAGCTTAAATGGGTGCTGAAATGGCCAACGGATGGAGCCGTAAGACTGAAGGAAATAATGAGATCACCAGCACACTAAGGTCCACTTCATCGATCCATCTGTTATTGATGTTTAGATAAACATGGTGTCACAAGCAAATGCAACGTTTCAGAACCACATGCGTTCCCTTCATCAGTCTTGAAGGGGCCGCATGTGGCTCCGAAACATTACATTTGCTTGTAACACCATGTTACCTAAAAGTCATTAAAAGACGCATCGATGAAGTGGATCTTGGTATGCTAGACTAAGCACTTCCTAAGCATATTCCTCCGATCTGCAGTTCATATTGTACAGACCAGGAAAAAATAACAGCAAAGAAGGCACCTGTTTCACACACATTTTAATTAAAACTTACAAAAGCAGAGGGAGAAAAAAAGACAAAAGTTAAAGTTATTTCTGCTAAGTTGTAGTCCATGAATATATTACAAGAGATAAGGGGTTATAAAAGTACAGCTATCCTTTAAAGAAAATCCAAATAAACAAGGTAGATACATTATTTAATTTAGCCTTACATAAAGAACGTTTCTTCAACTATCATTATTGCGTCTTGCTGCCTGTGGCAAGAAGCTGTATTCTCTCTCAGGATGCTTTTTTAACCTTTTTTATTGTAAGCCTCTGTGTAGCCATGCGTTGATGTATATCCTAATATTAGTAAATTGATTGGTAATAAAGTAATGGAGTCAATTGATGCAAATAGTATGTAACATTTAATATAACCTCAAACACTTTTCATAGCTGCTAGTCAGACCTGTGAAGAGGTATTGTGGCTCATGCACGTATATATGTTGGTGTATCTTGCTTAAAATGCCTTTCTTGCAATCAATCCACATAATTGTTTTTTAACCCTTTTGCTGCCAGAACCATTTTTTGCACATATGTTAAAACTGCACACATTCTAGTCTCGAAGATTACTTAAAACCCCCAGAATTATACTTTATCTGAAAGCAGAGACCCTGTAGAATAAAATAGTGGCCATTGCAATTTTGAATATCACACGATGTAAGTGCAACTGTTTATTAAACCCAAGTTTTCCATAAAAAATATTTTTAAATTAATTTTGGTGTACATAAACACAATATAATATAATGAGGTCGGGCCAAGCAAATAGATAGCAAACATGCCAACCTTCAAAATTGTGTTCGCCAGTGAAATGGCGAAAAACTATGGTACACAAAGTTATTCACAGGTGATGCTTTAAAGGGCTTTATAGGTCAATTTAGAGATAACATTGAACAACTCTAGAATTATTGTTTTTACTGTGGTGAACACAACAATACCCAACATGTGTGTAATTTTTGTATATAGGCCCATTATGTCACCTCTGTACTCCAGTAAAGCAGATCAAGCACAGATCGTACTTTAAAACCAGAAGTGACAAAAAGCATGTCACTTCTCACTTCATTCAGCACAGGGGCAATCAGCCAACAGATGTCCTGCATCCCGCATGCTGACACCCACCATGCCGGTCTAGCTATTGCAGCTTTGAGTTTATTTTAATACCTTAAAGCCTGGATGTACCAGACACACCCAAAAGAGTTCAAGGGGTTAATAAAGTTGGATTTGATGACATCAGTGTGCGACTTCCTGCTATCCTTTTAAGTCAGATTCTCTTGGTGTTACCCTCTTCAGTAGTTCCAAGGCCCAATCATTTATTTGCATCAGATTGGGTTGTTTATAGCCAGCTTTTGATTACAATTAGATCAAACTTTATTTTAGGAGCCATACATACACAAATCTAGTTAATTTCTTAAATGTCACAATTCCTTTTCACACAAAGTTTATATTACAGATACAGTATATTCTTAAACACATACTGCAGTATTTTCAGTATTCTTGCAACACAGCAACATCTTTGTGCCTTTTTGTTTCCTCTTTATCTTTTTGTTTTATTTTTGTTTAATGAAACAAACCAGTTCATTGTGTTCATTCAGAAGCATTGTAAATAAACTGAAGCTTGCCTATGTATTCCCCCAATTCTTCGCCGTATTTTGATACTTTTGAGAGGATACTAATGAAGTTAACAATTGGAATGTTGATTTTATTTGAAGTGGTTTTCTTGGAAGAAAAGAAATTGCAATGTTATCTAATTGACGAGCTTCTGTATATTCCCTATAAACGTGTTACATATTTTGAGACAAACCAGAGCTAGAGAAAAAAAAAATACAATACAATACAAGATAAAGATTGGATATGCTAGTTGTCAGCTCTGGTTATTTGCCATTCATTTGTATGTGTTGATGAAATTTCTATTATGTACTACCTTAAATATATTGTGAAAACTACAACGCTTCTATCGCGGCATAGAAAAAAGGCCTTTCTCATGTGGATAAATGGAAGCTCATTTCTTTCTAAAGCACATTTAGCTAAACTTATGAATACGAGTTGTCAGACATGCAATGTTGTATTAATTGAATCTTTTTCTAGTCTTTTTGGTTTTCCATCCAGAAATGCTCTTTAGAAAAACGCATGGTTACCTTAATTGTAGGAAACACAAAAAGTATCCTTCACATTCCTTCTCTTGAATGAGAATGGCAAATCAATTCATCTAAATAATAACCCCATTAGCTGCTTAACTCAGCATCGAACATGGGAAAATGTACCAGATAGAATGAGAGACTGTTGATTGGATGGATAATTTTCAAGGTTTTGTTCGTCTAATGTGTATTGAGAATACAATTATATTTTATGTACTAAGAGATATCTAACATTGTAATAATTGTGTTTTTGTTCTCACATTACAGCAACAGTACCATTCCAAAATAGATGACTTAATTGAGGAAACTGTTACAGAAATTATATCACTTCTTGTTTTGAAGGTACATTTATTTATATATGTTTTTATAACTTTAGCTTATTTTCATCATTGGAGTTGCCTCTCTATTTGCATTGTGGGAAGACTTTAACAATTCACACAGGCATGTGAGGGTGACACTGTTTGTCCTATATCTGTTTATAATTTTAGCATGTAAAGTGCTGTCTGCATTTGAAATGTGGATAGTTCTAGTTATATAGTACTGCAGGTTTTGCGTGGGCAGGTTCCTGGAGCATTGCAGTACAGTTTGTCTGCTGTCAACATCCACACTTCCATTCTCCCCAGGAAGACTTCCTGCCTTTCCAGTGCCTATTCTAATACTTTTCACAGATTTTTAGACTGTTTGCATATTAACTGTTTTTTTGTATTACCCTGTAAAGATCCCGACAATATTGTTGGGATCCACCTCGCTGCATGATTGACAGTTGGCTCTGCTCCTCTAGTGGCAGAGCTACTGTGCCCACCCCCTCCCTATTTGTCATGAGCACTGGAGGAAAGAAGTGGGGAGGGGGGGAATCCCTGTGAGGTGTTGTGACTGACAGTCACCGCTCTCTATAGGGAGAAGATCATGAACTGAGCAATCAGCACTTTGTGATTGCTCAGTTCTCGATCAATAGAGCTGGCATGTGACACGTCAGCTCTAACTATAGGGATAAGTGGATTTCACTCTCCCCATAGTTTTTCTTTAATTCATTTGACGTAGTGCTTCCTAAGATGGCCCTAACACCGGAAAAGTGTGGCAAAAGCTTTACTAAACCACCCTGAAAAATCTTACTATATAAACAATATCACTTTCAGGTGCATTAAAAATATTCAGATTAACCGTAATATAAGAAAATGATATATGTGTACAGATTTGATTTCAGCATATGGTTTGGACATTTGGTTTCTGTAACAATAGTTTGAGGTCTAGATGTTCCAGTTTATTTGGGCTGTGTGAGAGAATGTGAGAAGGTTGTATTCTTCAACCTCCAATGAGAGATTCCTGGGGATGGAGAGTTAAAGACAGCAACCGAAAGTGTCGGTGTATGGATATGTAGTTTTTAGGGTCGTGTTTTCTGATCAATAATGGGGAACCAAGGGGCGCTGTGAGTTATCAAGAGAAGAGTGGGGGAGGGGGATCAAGGATCTATCAAAGAGAAATGAAGTTGGCAAGTTTAAACGGGGAGGATGGGGAGAAAGAAAGAGTAGTAGAGAGTGGGAGAGGAAAGAGAAGAAAAAAAGGGGAGTATTGAGAAAAGTACAGGAAAACAGATAGCATTGTCAGATGAGCAGTAGCAAGGGTTAGGGTCATGGCCACTTGCTGGTCAGCCAGCCAAGAACTGTAATTCAGGGTGGGTCTGAACATGCGAGAGCAGGGGTCCTCAAACTACGGCCCGCGGGCCACATCCAGCCCGCCAGGGTCCTTGGCCCGGCCTGTTCGGGTGTCAATGCCGGGGAGCTGCAGGCCCCTACCTTTGCTACCTCCCAGCCGGCCGTTGTACAAGAACGGCCGGCCGGGAGCTCTCTAGATAAGCCACAGCCACTTGTGCGTGCCTTGCGGCGCGCTCAAACGGGAGATCCAGTCAATTTAAAAACAGGCAAATTACTCCCCCTGTCCGCTCGCCTTTGGCTCCGTGGGATCTGAATCTTGTGCTTTCAGTGTTGCTGGAATCCCCGTTTGGACCTCTTCAGGAGATTCCGCTTATGTCTTTGTCATAGAAAGTGGCCTTTTTGGTGGCCATCACTTCCGTTCGGCGGGTGTCGGAGCAAGTCCCCGTTGCTGGTTTTGCATCGGGACAAGGCGGTTCTCCGTCCTCGGCCGGCGTTCCTGCCGTAGGTTGTGTCGGCATTCCATCTGAATGAAGACATTGTATTCATCCAGCCCGTCACCCTGGGGACACTTGCTAGAAGAAATTCAAGTCAAAACGGAAGAAAGGAAAAAAAATTCTCCAGAGAAATTTTTTTAGCTCCTTACTCCTGACGCTAGGCAAAAAACTGGAGACTTGTCAGCAAGTGAGGGGTTGGGCCACCAGCAGGGGCCGCCCCTAGGCTGTCTTTTTGTTATGTGCTTAGCGTCCTACTCCTGCAGGTGGCGATATACCCTACCATTCAGGATCTACGATCTGTTGCCCTGTGTCCTTCAATGAACGGAGAGAAAATTATTTTACGGTGAGTACAAAAATCCTATTTTTTCATATTTTTGTGGTTAAAAACATTTTTTACATATGGTTCAGAACAGATTAACCTCATTTACATTGAACCCTATGGGAAAATTTGATTCGGTTCGTGACCAGAATCGTGGAGCCAATTAAGTTCATGAACCAAGGTACCACTGTATATCCTCCTTTCTGTACAGTGGCTACTAAATGTATATTGGCCGTAACCTGATTGGAGAATTTCAATGAGGTTGCCGTTTACCCATTCCCCCGCCCCCCGTGAGATGTGATAATCAAACAAGATTATAGTCACATAACATGCAGATAAATGCAGTCAATGATATAAATATATATGTATATATTCCCATATATCAAAATATCTAATGAAGATGTTGCACAAGCAAAACTTTATATGACAACACTAAGCAAGATAAGTACATTAAAGTTTGAATGTTCACAATATTATACTGACTGGGAAGATGCTTCCTAAGAAAGATGTACTTTTAATGTATCACTTCTAACTGCTTTATTAATAAACTCACATCGCAATGTATAAGTGAGTATAAAATGTTTGAAAGTCATTGTTCTTTGTATAGCAATAATTTTAATGATACCATTTTTTTGTACTAATTGACATTTCTAATTAACTTCCTGCACAGTCACTGAGCAAACATTGTTAAGCTGTGTTTTTTAATTACGTCTATGTCACCCTTTCTAACACCATATCTAACTAATGCTGTTAATCAAAGTTTGTTTCAGTGCTGGAAGGAGTTCTGTCTAAATTGGCAAGATATGATGAAGGCACGTTCTTTTCATCTATTCTCTCTTTCACTGTAAGTATATGTCATTTAGTATTCTAAAGTTATCAGATTTCCATGGCTGACATTTCCAAAGGCTGGTCATACTATCAAATTATCTCTAGTGATTCAGGAGAAAGAAAAACTTCATGTAGTTTAAAGTTCAACTTCAGAAAAAAAAAAATAGCAATGAGTATCCATCATCATTGAAGCTGTCATTTGTACAGTATAGGGCGGTACTGCAGGCATAAGATACTAACCAATAGAGGTAACTTATTTAGATTGTGCATTTTTTTTCATGGAGTTCCACTTTAAAGATCTAGTGTTACTCTATCAATCATATCAAAGGGTTATGGCTGTTTATTTACTGTATTGACACACTTGCAGGTAATAGTTACTGCTTAGTGTAGGAGAAGCAGAAAGTTTTGAAATTTAAGTTGTAAAATGTAGGAGCAAGTATTAAACATAAAATTTGTTCCATTTCCCCAGATGTGTCTCAGTCAGCAGGAAATATTGGGCTTCTCAGCAGTTTACATTTGGCAAACATTACATAGTAAGATTCATTTCTAAGGGGTCTGCTTATAAACAATTCGCAGAGCCAATGTGGTTTTATAAGATGACATTTGAAAATGCATTTGTCCTATTAAGAAAATATACAAGAACGTTCGTTTTGTTCATCCATTCGCACAGAACAAACATTCACAGAGATTCACAGGATCAATGGCTCTGTGAATTGTTTATAAATAAACTCCTAAGTATTATTAATCTTGTTTGGCACACTTAGAGATCATTATTATGATGATAACCCTAAATTAAAGCAAAGCATCAGGAGAATAGCTAAGGATACAATGGAAATACTGTGGGTGAGTTACTAAAGGAGTAAAGCTTGTTTGCTTTGTAAGGGAATTTTCACTTAGCTTAGTGAATGAGGTGAAGCTCTGCTGACAATCATCCAATCATAGAAGGGACACAAGCGATTACTGACCTTAGTTTAACACTGGGTTCAACCACCAGGTGAGAGGCAAAAGGTGGAGGTGTTTGGATATCATCACTTCACAAAGGATTTATATTTTCACGGTTAAACATACTGATATCTGGAATACATCTGCATCTACATAGCACTATTCATTAACTGGTGGATCACCGTTGCAAGTTTATCAAGTTTCAAGTGACTGGTTGTGACATGGACATTGGAATAGATTGTATAGCATGATTATGCTAGTTATGATCATGATAATAGGTTGTTGTTTGTTTTAGTGTTTAGTACAAATTGCTGTTGTCATTGTTGATAGTGCTACATTATAAGCTTTCTTACTTTGGTTTGTGTTTGATGACACATTCTAAGTTTTGGCAGCTGCACACTAGAGACAGGGAATAAATAGCACAGACATTTTTGATATAATCATCCAATCATGTGCAAGCAAAAATCCTGTCTTTTAATCTTCCTTGCACATTATTGGATATTGGCTGCAAGCACTGTTTGGCTGATGATTTTCCAACATTTTTCTAAAGCAGAAGTTGATCTGATGATCAAATACTGTCGAGGGGATACGGTCACCAACAGATCGAATTTTGGCTGATTCCTGTTTTACCTGCCAGAATATTTAAAACTCTGTCCAAACACTTGCATGATCCAAGCACCCTTCCCTGACAGTCTAGCCAGGTCACTGACCTAACTTTTCTCCGCTACAGTTAAGTAATACAGCTTGCTGGTGATGCAGCAGCTCCCTGATTAGGTAGTCATTATGTTCTCCCTTCCTGTAGCTTGTTTAGGAGGGAAGTCTGACAGTTTTTTATAATGCTGTAGAACCTAATTGGTAGGGATGCACCGATACCAAGTATTTAGGGCAAGTACTCCTACTCGCCAAATGCTCCCAATGCCTATCCTGATATCGTAACTTCCGGTATCAGGAAGCCGGGCAGCTAGTCATTACACACTGCCTGGCTTTCCTGATTGGCGGGGAAGCCGGCTCCATGCTCCCTCGTCACCAGGGAGCATGGAGCTGGCTTCCCGGCCAATCGGGAAGCCGGGGGAGGGTAATTACTCACCCCCTGGCTTCCTGATTATTTAGGAAGCTGGCCAATCAGGTTTTTCTAGCCATCATGATTGGCTAGAAAGCCGGCTCCATGCTTCCTCGTCACCTGGTGACAAGAGAGCATGGAGATGGGTTCCTGGGTAATCAGGAAGCCGGGTGGCGAGTCATTACACGCCACCCGTTTTCCTTAATGGGACTTCGGGTATCGGTATTTGGTATCTGCGAGTACCGAAAAAGATTATCAGTACTCGATACCGAAAAACTGGTATCGGTGCATCCCTACTAATTGGTTTAGAGCATTTTCCCTCTGTCCTGCAGTACTACTCTGGAGGCATAACAGGAAATAGATATCAAGATAGCAGATAGCAATGCTTACAGGATTAAGAGCTGTGACTTTTACATATGCACAGACTTCAGTCTTAAGGGCTTCTGTTTCTTTATTTAGATAAGTGAATGAAAAAGATCAAGTGTTGTTCATATAGTGGACTGTCTTTTTTTACAAGTTTTATTATATTATTTATTGAATTTAAAATTATGAAAAAAGTAAACTGTTTACGAAAAGTAGAAATGTATAAATTGATTGACAAAATGCAATTAATCAGTCAATGCTTCCATTTTGTGAATTACTGAATTGAATTGTGACTTATTAAATTAGGATTCTTCATCTGGAAGCTTGATTAGATTAAAAAGGATGGTGTAATTAAGATAATTATGGAGTTGAGAAATTAATACATGTAATATGTTCAGGGCTGAGAAGTGCGTTCCTTTGCTAATTATTTGTATAGCTTTACACTATTGATTTGCTTTTTTTTTTCAGGTGAAAGCTGCTTCAAAGTATGTGGAAGTACCAGTAAGTGATATCAGTTTCCATGTCCTCGTCTACATGTAATACATGCTTAGTCAGTAAATCAGTGCAAACGGTAATAAATATGTTTAAAAGAATCCATAGCAACCTATTAAAAATGTATATTTTTATTTGCTTTATTCAAGTATAGTGAAGTCTAATTGGTTACCATAGATTACCGTCTCATGCCTATTCCTATTGATCTTTTACTTGCGCCTAAATTAAATAACTCAGTTGAGTCTTCACTTTAATTACCAGTTTTGTAATTTCCCTGGAATCAAATGTTGTATTAATAATACACTGATATGGATAAATATACTGTATTCTCTTCAGCAGAAGTTTCCAAACTTTATTTACTTGTATTTTATAGATAACAAGCAGCAGTTATGCAAACATACAAAATAATCAGTAATAAAGAAAAGTAAAGGAAATTACACTAAATCAATTACCTCTGCTTACTGCCTTGATTATAAGTAGGGTATAGTTTGGTGAGTGCATGGGCATACAGAAAGTAAGCTCTGTTGGGTAGACTACTATTAGCCACACTAATGGTATTAGCTGAGCTTTGGGTACCTCACTGTAAGCTGTAAACAAAAACACACACAGTATATAAGAAAGTGGAATTTAGAAAATATAGATACATTTTGCCACAGTCTTCTTATCTAATAGATTTGCTAATCAAACTTGGCAAATTACCGATTATTAATTGCCCTAGTAGGTTTTTGCTAGTAGCCCTGTGTTTACAGTTAGTGTAATAAAAACTAATGAAAGGTGTATTTAGTGTCCTGCAATCACTAGCATGTTGGGCAAATTTTGTGCATAATAATTCTCCTGTATTTTTAATTAACCCCATTTCCCTTTTTAAACTAGATATTCGAACAGGAAAGAATTTCTTGCTTTAATAAATGTGCACAATGCTTATTGCCATTTAGTAGAAAATATAAGATCCTGAGTTTTAAGTACTCTTTTTGATATTTTCCATCTAGATATAGTAGAGGTAATTTAAAACCTAGTTTAAAGAGTTAGCCGAATGTTTTTACATTTAGTACAACACAGAAAGGTAAAGAATTGTTTCAGTATGTCCTTGGGAAGTGTTCAATTTTGTTAAGCAGTAAGCACTAGAGTGAAGGGTTCCCTAAGGAATCATTGAAAACCTCCTCATGATCCCCAGAGCCAGACAGCAACATTGTTTTTCTCGGTGCACTTTTCCAGTTGGGAGAAGGAGGTTTGTAACCTAGTAACCCTCACACTACAAACCCAAATATTTTGATGTAAACAGTAGTCTTGAAAATTGTTATACTGTGCTTAAGCGACTTGGTTTTAAGGTTGCCAGCCTGGCTTGTTTCCAACCTTGATGGGTTAATTTGGAAAAGCTGTTGACTATTTTTTTGTGCACGCTACCCTATATATTTACTTTCCTGATTCGTAAAGTACACTGCTAAAAAGCAGAAATAAAGAAATGTTAAAAAAAGAAGTTCTTACTTTTTCTGGCAACTAGTTTCCAGACTTGGACAAACCCTGCCCTCTGCACAACATTATGTAGAACTTCTGCTTGATTATCTAATGTAGAAGAAAAATCAGGAGCTGTAGCTTAATATCAAAAACATTTTTCATGGGAACTGTTTACATCTCTATTGTGTGTGAATTAGACAGAGCCCCAAATACAGAGTGATATGGTTCTTTTGTAGGCAAACTATGCAACATTATAACAGTTTTCAGTAAAGCTGAACCACTAGTTGTATCTGATTATAAAATGAGAAGACAAACAATGGAAATCATTGCAGAGAAAATTGTTAATATGAGCTGGTCTAGCCCTCTGTGAGAGATGATGGAAGTGCTAATAATTTATGAGTGGATTACCTTGAGACCTGATTAGTGTTTCTTTTTATTCATACTTTGTCTATGTTATATAATTTACGTAGCATTCACTTTGTATGGCAAATCTGTTTTTAGAAGGTTGAAGTGGGGAAACTAATTGCTGTGGGTAATTGCATGCCATTGCTGTTTGTATTTTTCTGGTAAACAAAATAATTTTTGTTCCTTATGTTTATTTCAGACTGAAAAAGACAAAAATGTATTAATGCTTTCAACACACCACATATTTCCTTAACTGTAGCAGCACTATAGCTGAGATCTATAGTGCAGTGTTGTCAGACTCCAATACAACTATTAGAAGAATTATTTACATTTAAAATGAACCTACTACAAGGTGGTAGATTTATTTTTGACTAAATAAATTGGTAGCTTTGCTTTAGTTTTAGTGCATAGATATTTATCACACTTTAAAATAATTTATTACAACAACTAAATTATTCACACCCCCCAAAAAAAAGATGTATGAAATCTGCAACACTGATCCTACCATAACTGTTGACTTTACTTTTAAACCCAACCCTAAACCTATCTCTAAATGTAACCGTAACCCTAAGGGCCCATTTACAGATTTGTGTTGTGGTACCGGTTTACTGTAAAGGTGCCCATACACCTGCCGATTATCGTACGATAATCGGCAGGTGTATGGGCAGCGCGCGACCGCATATACTGTACAGTCACATGACTTTCGTCTTCCGAGCACGCTGGAAAACCTGCCGAAAATTGTACGATTTGCGTCGGGTCCGTAGCGTGCTCGGAAGACAAAAGCCGCACGGCCGTTGTGCGCAAGCGCACACTGCCCCCTCAGCATTGCAATCATCGGCAAGCCCTCCCCTCAGCGTGGAGGGCTTGCGATGATCGCAACTACGATCTGCCTGTCCAAGATGGGCAGGTCGTACAAAATTTTAATGACCTTACAACCATCGCACAACGAAAGTCGTGCGATGGTTGTAAGGTGTATGACCAGCTCTACACACGTACTGGGAAAAGGAATAGTCCCTCAATGCAATAATGCAGTTGCAAGCAATACAGCTGCACTGCAGCACAGCATAATGCATATGCACTGGAGTTAAAAGGAATGAGTCATGTACAGTTAAGTCTGCATAGTGGTATTTTGCCACTCCATTCAAAATAAATAATACTTAAGCTGAATATATGTCTAAACTTAGAACAGAACTAAACCATAACTGGACGATATTTAGTGTACTAAAGCTCTGTGTACATTTGCCATTTTTTTCTTTTTAGGAAAATACTGTTTCTTGAGTATACATGACAGGACAGAAGGTCCTAAAGGGTTCTTTATCCACTGCCTGCCTCAGCTTGTTGCTTTTACAAAATAAATGCTCTAAAATTCCAGTATATAATACATCTTACTAGCCATGCTTGCCATGGCAAGAACTGGCTCATTTGTTTGTTTACCTGGTGTGCTGTTGATTCTGATTTGGGAAGAGGTCAGACTTGCTCTCATTAATGTTGAATCAGTGTTGTGAGACATGACTGAAGTTTTGTCCTTCCCAGTGTTGGCTTGTAAACTGAAATGCACCTGTGGGATTAGGTGTAACAGCAGGAAGCATGAGCACTCTGCAGCATATAATTAAATAGGAATTTGATGTCTTTCAAAGTGCATGTTCTCCATGCTGGGTTAACTGAAGATTAACTTTTAGAATAATCATCTGTGGCCTACACCCTCAATAAAGCATGTTTTTGTAGATTCAGTTACTTGTGTAACTAGTGATAACATAGTCCACACCATTGTTCCAGTTTTAATGTGATTATGTCTTCATGCTTTGTTGATTTTGAGCTTGTGCAGTAAAAACATTACATTTACTTTAATGAAGTATATAAACATAGATTCATTCAGATTAAATTTAAAAAGATAAGAATATAGTATTCTGCCTACAATGTATTGCAAGTCAATATTTGTCCTTTACCCTCTATATAAAGGCATTTTTGAAAAATCACTCCAGCAAACATAAGATGCTGGCATCATGCCTTACCTTTTTGGCAAAGCTTTATAACTTTTTTCTTTAAATTAAAAAATCAAACAGATGTCTTATACTGGCACTTGTAACAATTGATGATTTGGGAGTGCCAGAAAAAATAATACAGAAGTAGATAAATCCGTTTTATGTAATGTTTCAAATATACTGCATTTGTTTATAATGTATGTTGGCATATGAAGACTAAATCACATAATTATGTGTGTTAACCACTTGAAGACCGTTGTGTTAAACCCCCTTCCTGCCCAGGCCATTTTTCAGTTTTCAGCCCTGCAGTACTTTGACTGACATTTATTCCGTCATGCAACGCTGTACTGAAATTCATTTTATACCATTTTTGGGGAGACAAAGCTTTCTTTTGGTGGTATTTAATCACCACGGGGTTTTTTATTTTTTACTATATAATGAAAAAAGGACAGTTTTCGCTACGTTATGTTAAAAAAACATTTATTCTTTGGTGAAACATAACAGACGTCGGGTAAATAGACACCAAACATGTCAAGGAAAAGAGTAAACACAGTTGATTGATAATAAATGGCTTCAGCCAAACACTACCCATGAGTGACAGGTTTTCGGGCTATCATTCATATTCTTTGAAAAATGGCCAGGAAATCATACATTCTGCCAGGGTATGTAAACTTATGAGCACAATTGTGTGTGTGTATATATATATATATAGGTTGGACCTGTGTCTTTATTCAACCTCACCTACTATGTAACTATGTCAATAAAATCCATTTCCTTCATCATACAACAGAAATATGTTGGCGCTATACCAATAATTGCAATTGTATTGTAATTATAGAATCCCTGCAGCAAGACCTTGATAAAATTGGAGACTGGGCAGTGATGTAAGCATTATTCTAGAAAAATAAGGTCATGCACTTGGGTGCTAAGAACATGCATGCCGAATACACCTTGAGAGAGGTTTTGCCAAGGAAAACAAAGATGGAGAAGGATCTTGGGGTCCTTATAGATCATAGACTCTGCAATAGCATGCAATACCAAGCCGCAGCTAATAAAGCCAGTAGTATATTATCTTGCATCAAAAGAGGGATTTATTCATAGGATAGAAATATTAGGATTGTTTTCCTTAGAGAAGAGACGCTAAGAGGTGACATGATCACAGTTTAC